TGTGCTGCTTATTCACATTGTTAACTTCTGGAACAATAGCTTCACCTTGAAAGATATACAACGAATGTTTCCTTTGTCCCTTCATGAACACTGTGCCGCCCATGATGACCTTTATCATTCTGTTTCCTGCTTTAAACTCACATCATTTCTCTTTCAGAGTCCCCAGAGATATGAGATTTCTCGTGATTCTAGGCATATATCTCACATCACGAAGTGAGAAGGTACTACCTTCAGGATTCCTAAACCGAACTGCCCTGAACCTTCAACTTCTGATATTGTACCGTTGGCCATTCTAACCTTTCCTGATGCTCCTACTCGGAAGTCTTGTAGTAATTCTCGTCTTGGTGTCATGTGAAAAGTGCAACCCGTATCCATGACCCATTCATCTCTTTCTGAATCTCCAAAAGATAAGTTCACTTCAGCAGCAATCAAACCCACCAAATCATTAGCATCATCCCTGACAGCTGCAGACGCCTCTGATTTCTCATAAGACCCTGTCTTTCCCTTGTTTCTATCCAGCCATTTATAACACTGCTTCTTCATATGTCCCTCCTTGCCGCAAATCCAGCAGACACGTTTGCCTTCTTTTGACTTTGACCGAGACCTGTTCTTGTTCCTGCCAAAATTTACAGTCCTAGAATCCGTTCTACCCCTCACATAATGTCCCTCCCCGTTAGACCTAGTACTAACAGAGTCTTTAAAGTCCAGTTCCTTAGATCTAGCAGCACTAGCAACTTCCTCTACCTTAATAGCTTCCCTACCATACTTAAGAGTTTCTTTTAAAGTGGCATACCTCGATGGGAGAGCGTTGAGTAGTAGAATGGCCTGTACCTCTTCGGGAATTTCTATGCTGAGGTTGCTCAGGTCTGTAATCAGCTTCAAGAACTCGTCCATGTTCTGGTCATTTTTATTTGAATCTTGCATCTTGAATGAGTAGACTCTCAGTTGAGCGTGGACACGATTGGGAAGGCTCTGCGTCATGTAAAGACGATCAAGTAGAGACCATGCTTGAGCTGCAGAGGTGCATTTGTCGATCTTTCAGGGAACCTGATCTCCTACGCTCATGAAGATAAGATTCATTGCTTTCTCATCTCGTCTCGATCTTGATGCTTCAAGATCCTCCTTCTTCTTCTTTACATCTAGATCCTCATCTTCGTCTATCTTCCTCTCTGGATCCTCCGTTCTTTCCATTAGAATATCCTTCAAACCTTGTACGCTGAGATTTGCGTACATTCGTTTCTTCCAGACTGAGAAATCCCCCGATCCATCGAACATCGTCATTGTGAGTTGATGCGACCCGACCTTGAATTGTATCGTCATCTCTTCCGTCTTCTTTTTCTGAATCTCCGGTGAAGTGACCTGGTTCTGATACCAATTTGTGAAACCTAACCACCGCAAGATTCTTGATTCCGATTAACTGCGAACACGAGACACCGATATGTTGACCCGGAGTTCACCGCACCACACCGTTAACTAGGTGTGGCCGCTATATCTCTCCGGAGCTGGGATCGAACCAGCAAGTACTAACCGCTCACAATGGAGCTCCGATTTACACTTATCGACACCGTGATTGATCTCTCTCTCTCTCTCGATGTAACTAACAATTAACAACCTAACTACTTTGAGAATATATATCCAAAAAAAATATTTACATAAATATATTTATGTAGATCAAATTTATATATCCGAAAAAATAAACATCTTTTCACTACTCCACTGTACGTACGCTTAACTCTGATTTTATAAATGAATATATATCCGAAAGAATAAACAAATTTTGGTGATATAGATAGTCAAATCAATCTTCTTAAATCTTTTTCGTATACTAAAAACGGGATGTTGCAATTCACCAATTTCAAAGAACGCAACGTCTATGATGCACCCTATGATCGTTACCCATGTTAGTGTTAGCTCTCATTGACTCCACACTTGTCTGGGTTGGTTCTAATACCATTTGTAATGCTCTAACCGATCATCCATGGCTAATGGACCTCCCATGCCAGCTCTCTTGGCCCATGACTCTCATCCCGTGCGATGGACGATGTGTTAATTTTTTTCAAGATCCGAAAGTTATGTTTACTGACCCTGCCATCACCACATGACATTTTTTCGTGCTTTAACTTCACTCGCACGATATTACGAATCATTTCCAAATAGGTTATCTATCGTTTTATTACGCTAGAGCAAACACATTTACTTCTAGAGTTCTAAACAGATGTATGCCTGAAAAAATAAAAGCATTTTGATAATATAGGCGACTAAATTAATCTTTTTAAAGTTTTTTCTATATATCACAAACCAAGATATTATAATTACTCATTATATTTTTTTGAAGAATTTTTCTGATTAAACATAGGAGGTATTTGTCAAATAACCAAGAAAAAAATAAAACTAGCTGTTAAGAAAGAAAATAGAGAGAGATAGGAAAAAGAAAGGAGAAAGAAGATAATTTTAGTTAGTTAATGTATTTAAATTTTTTTTTTTTGTAATACTACACGTCATTAGTTTGTAAGTTGGTAGACTATGTTATTTATAGACTGAGTCATAATATTTTTTTTTGGAACTCAAGTCATATTAATTTTTTTTTATATTAGTGGATGCAATTTCCTTTAATCATATGACTTGAGTTCCAAAAAAAATAATATGACTCAGTCTATAAATAACATAGTCTACCAAGTTACAAAACTAATGACGTGTAGTATTAGTGGTTGGTACTCAGACATCACACGTGTATCATGTGTCAACTATGAAGCAAACGCACAATCGGGGAAACAATAAAATACGACAAATAATCTGAAACCAAACATACCTACGTAAGCTTTGTCTTTTTTCTAAGCCAACAATTGACAAAGAAAAAGATAATAAAGGACTGCCACGGAAAGAAACGTGCCTTTAAGGCTGTTCTATGGTATTTCGTTTACAATGTGGATGACAAACGATGGTGAGCTGTGTCTCGATATGAATGCTGTAAGCATATGTGCCATGGTCCATACCATTCTTGTAATGTAGAAATTTGAGGTTATAAACGTACATGAAATTAGTTGTGGTTATATATTTATCAATTTTACTAGAAGTTACATTGGGTGAAAAACTGTACATAAATATTTTTGTTGTTTACCAAGAAAGTAAAGAAAAACTTTAGTTTCAACCCATGTTCGAAAATGCTGGCTAGGCGGCCGCCTGACCAGCGAGTAAACGCTTGGCAGCCAACCACCGTAGCGGAATGGCCCTAGTCGGTGATAAAATCGGATTTCCCAGAACAACTTCGTTTTGGTTTTGTTTTATGTTAAAAACCTATGTATTTAGTAGGATCTGGAAAACTTTGATAGAATTAAGTAATAAAATGATAAGTTTGTGCGTAAATGGTTGAAAAACAGCTTTGAAAAATGGAGGCATGTTGTTACAGGTTTTAGGTTATAAGAAAAATGATTTGACTAATATGATTTTATCCCTCATTAAAACAAGAAACGAAAATAAAAACAAGAAAAAACGTTTCGTAAGGATCAGACCTCAGTACTTTCACCAAGACATAAACGGTAATTACATTAAAGCAAAACTTTGAAATGTCATAAGCAAAGTTAATATTTATACGTGTATATATGTAATATGCTTATAAATTAGTCTCCGATTAACTTCGATTAGTCCCCGATTTTTTGTCAACTCGTTAGGTGTGGATCAGCCGTCCGACTAACGCCTAACGCGATTTTGAATAGGGGTTTCAACTAAGATACACAAAAATATAGAACGGCAAAGATTAAATAAATTCAAAACAGAAACTCAAAACTTGACTAATTATCAGTAAAAGTTTCACGCAATCTCAAGTTCATGTTTAGTCTATAGACGTCAAGGGAAGGAAATCTCAACTGTTGACGTGATTAGTAGATGTTTTAGCAAAAAACAAACATATATCCCAATTAAACTCACACAACAAAAAAATATATATCATCAATTTCTTTAGATGGATTTAGTCCAGTTCAATCTGTTTGTTTGCTAATATATTTATGTTGTTAATGTCTCTGGCGTATAATCTTTGGGGTTGAAAACTAGAAGATGTTAGTCACCATTTGTCACCGTATACTATATATTTTCTCTTTTTTTTGTATCTTTAAACTATGGACAGAATTTAGGTTCACCTCCTGTGGTGAATTTTATAATTCACCCCATTTCTCATGACCAATGAAAGTGCCATGTAAGATTAATGAAAAAGATTATTAAAATTAAAAAAAGGAAAATTAGGTTGAAAAAAAAGAAACAAACGATTACTAAACCGCCGTTAGAAGCAACGTGATTTGATTTTTTCTTTTTCTTTATCGATCGGCTTTTCTTCATCTCCTCAGAGACTCCCAAATAATCCTTGGCTGTGACTTAATTACAGGTTCGAGTCATTATCACGTCAATGCACAGAGATACATAATAAATCACAAGTCTAATTATTATGTGTTATATATCACTTGATCATATAGTTATTACCTTAGAACTCATAGATCTTTTAATTATGTCTATGTATGATCATATTTGTTCTTCCTTTCGATTTTCTGATTATCACATCTATATATGAACATAGAAATATGAGATTAATTCAGTTAGGTTATATGCTATGTTTTTGTTGCTTTATTTTGATGATAGCAAAAAGAAACCGCTACACCATTGAAGTTAATAACTAGACAAAGCAAAAGAATAGTGCTAAGTCCTCCACAATATTATATTATATATGTTTTAGTGGAGTTCCAGTGAGTGAATGTATCAAAGTTATTCTTGAGACAATCTATTGCTTAGCTTTAATGTCTCTGCAAAACCTTTAGCAAAGCACACACAATGCCCCAACACTTCATTGACTACTCTATTCTTGTATCTTCAAACAAAATAAACTAAATAGAAGAATAGAAAGATTAACACTAAAGGTTGATGTTGAAACATTGGCAAAAACCTGTTGAGGTTGGCGTTGCTGCAACCTTTTAATGCTACAGTTTGACTCTGAAGTTGTTGCTTAGTGTCTTCGTTTAATGCTGCAATGTTACCGTCAACATCTTTCTTCTCGTTTTGTTGTGGTGATGAGACAAATGCATGCATCTGGATACTGTTTTATGGAGGTGGCTGTTCCACCGTGGTGGTCTCAAGTTCCATCTCGCGGTCCATATTCTCTCTTTTGGTTGCTCTGGCCGCTCGGCCACCACCACCTCTTCCTCGTCCCCTCCCTCTACTACCCTGCCACTGGGCTTAGGACTCCCCACCTCTTGCTAAAATAGTTAACACAATAGCAACCACAGTTCAATGGATGTGAGTGTTTCACATGAATATACAGAAACTAATAAAATAACCAAGTAACTAAGAAGAACATTTTTAGCAAAAAAAAAAAAACTAAGAACATGAACTCACTGTTTTGCTCTTCTTACATTCCTCGTCGCTGTCATTCACTTCGTCATTGATCAGCTTCCTGATTTAATCAATCTTTTTACATCAGCTTGATACAGGCTTACCATATAAAATAACAAGAATATAAACAGCCAAGAGTTGCAACCTTTTCTTGGAGATGACACGATCATCCATGGTAGCATCACCCTGGCCCCTGCCCTTGCGCTTGGCCATAGTCAGGCACCTTGCTCACAACTTCCCTCAGAAAATCAAACACGTTATATGTTTCCACACAGTGTTTTCTGTACCCAAAAAAAAACACATTTAATAAATGCATTATTATCACCAACGATGCTATTCAAATATCAGGAAGAAATAAAATCCATGGATAAACATGATTTGATTTGGTTTAGAAAAGGTTAAATCAAAATTAAATTTGAAAGCATAAAATTGTCAAATCTTTATATTCCTATTTTCTCTGCAGGGGATGAAGAAGAAGCAGATGGATGATGAAGAAAGAAATCACGGCGGCTTAATAATCGTTTGTTCTTTTTTTTCAATTTATTATTTTCTTAATACTTTTTTTCATTAATCCGACATGGCACTTTTATTGGTCATGAGAAATGGGGTGAATTATAAAATTCATCATGGGAGTGACCTAAGTTCTGTCCTTAAAATATTAACGGCTGCCTTTAAAGAAGAGTAGAATAGTCTTCTTCTGGATAACAAAATGCATAATATAATCGAATTGACAAACCTAAGTTCAACTTTGCTGTTGAACTCTCATAAGCTTCTCATGCCACATCACGATACTGTTGTAATATTTAATCAATAGCTTATATAAAAAATAATCAATATAGCAATCAAATCAACTTTGGGTAAACTCTCATAAGCTTCTCATGCCACATCACGATACTGTTGTAATATTGAATCAATAGCTTCTATAAAAAAGAATCAATAGCTTCTATAAAAAAGAATCAATATAGCAATCAAATCAACTTTGGGTACTGTGTAGTTTATCTTTTATCGCCGTACTATAGGGCAGGCACGTGCTTCTATTTTTGTACTTTGGTCTATTTGCAAAAGTTAAAACATAATCAAGAACATGTTCCAATTATTATTGAGAATTCGGCCAAAAAAAGCTCTAACTTTACATGAATTGCCAAAACAAACACGAACATATTGACTGGTCAAAAAACCACTGAACAATATCTATACTATTAAAAGTGAAGGCACCCTTGAAAAATCGACTTATACAAGTTGTGTGCACCTTTCATTAATGGCATTTTGGTTATTTTCGTCCTACATCTATATATATATCGAATGTTACAAATCATATCACATTAACTATTAACCATATACCCGATTTAATCTCTCTCTTCCTATTAATTACTCTAACCATATTTTATTTTATGTTCCATACTTTTATTTTACCCGGGTTATACCAATATGATTCCTATGATATTATATTATTTGTAACATGATATCATATGATTTCTAACACTCGATATATATTTACATTGTCATTTTGGTATATGTCATATGATTTGTATGATAAGATATTGTTTTCTACATTTGGTTACTACACTATAGATTACATAATTCAAATATATATCAAACCCATTTTAGTAGTATAGATTGGTAACATTTGGTTACTACACTGATTTGGAATTTGTATATAAAATATTGTCCTTTTGGTATATGCATAAATATACTAATATGATTTGTATGATACGATATGATTTCTAACATTTGTAACATTCGATATAGCAGCCATTTTCCTTTGTGTATATGTGATATGATTTGTATGATATGATATTATTTTCTACATTTGATATCATATGATTTATAACATTTGGTTACAACACTATAGATTACATAATTCAAATATATATCAAACCCATTTTAGTAGTATAGATTTGTAACATTTGGTTACTACACTATGATTTGTTACATTCTGTATAAAACATTTTCCTTTTGCTATATGCATAAATATACTAATATAATTTCTATCATATTATATGATTTCTAACATTTGATAATATACTGATATCATATGATTTGTAAAATTTGGTTACTACCCTATAGATTATATAATTCAAATATATTTCAAACCCATTTAGTATTATAGATATACATCAAAGTAATTAAATATGTGATAGGATTTGTATATTACGAAATAGCACACATTCTCCTTCTGGTTTATGCATATTATATCATTTGTAACATTTTATATCATATGATTTGTGTAAATAATGGTTATTACAAATCAATTCATAAGATACCCGCAATCAAATATATATCACCCATTTATGAGTGACATTTATGAGTGACATTTAATAACAAGATGCGTTTTCGTAAGAAAATATTTCTTATACTAAAATGAATAAATTCCTTCATCTACAAGTTTTTATATTATATATGGAAACATAAATAATGGTTGAATTAGTTATTTATGGTCGATTCCATATATATCTGTAATTGGATTAGTATTAACTGCTACACTTCCTATCTAATTCAAAATATATTCCATAAATATTCCTTATTCCTTAAATGAGATATTTTATCAGATCATAAAAAATAGCAAATCCCTACATTTTCGTAACCTAAAGGTTATCATCCCTATCTATTATAAATGTAACCTCTCTTAACCACTATATTCGTCATTCATTCAAAAACTTAAATCTTCCATATGGTGAATAATTTGCAGTTTTCTTTCTTAAGCAAAGTCAAACCGAGGAAAAATGCATGTCGCATCCAAGTCAAGATCCTTCATACATGGAGGCATTTTATGAAAGACATCGGTGAGACCATGAAAATTATCATTTGTGATGCAAATGTAAGTTTATCGATATAATATTCATTTCATTTCGTAAAGGTTTAAACTAAATTAAGATGTTTTACATATTGTTACAGGGAACTAAGATTCATGCCTCGTGTAACAAGACATACATTCCTCAATTTTCAAAACATATTCGTGTAGGAGTATGGAGGAACATTGATCGGTTCAGTGTGTCTGCTGCTGGTGGATCATTCAGATCAACTCAACATACGTATCGCATCGCTTTTAATGCCACCACCAAAATCACCGAATCTTCACACCATGATGATAACCTGTTTCTTGAAATGGTTGATTTCAAAACCAATGAAAATATCACAGATACAAACTTCCTTATTGGCCAGTTTTCTTTCATTTTTAACATTATATCCATTGTTTCGCTATCTAACACCAGTCTATATTTATTTAGATGTTATTGGACAAGTTCAAGACTTGAGTGATCTGGAGACCATAGGGTGTACTGGTGGGAAACAAAGGAATAAGTTGGAGTTTAGTCTCTTGGACATTTCGTAAGTTTCATATATTTATATTTTCATCTATACATGCTTATATACATATTGATTCAAAACTTTGTATACTATTCTATTAGTGGTCAAAGATTACCTTGTTGCCTTTGGGGTAAATTTGCTGAGAATCTTCATTCAGCTAGCCAAGAAACTGAAGGCATGGAGATATGTCTTCTACGATTTGCTAAGATTGGGCAATATAGAGGTATCATATGATAACAAACACTTATATCTCGATTTCTACTAAATTCTGATTAATAATATACTTGAAAATATGTTTCTACCTACTCAATTGCTTATTATTTATTTATGCATATTATTTATTTATGTTATAGGTGAGATCCAAATCTCAAATGCTTATGATGTCAGTCAAATGTTTCTCAATCCCGAAAGACCAGAGGCAGATGAATTTAAACTTTGGTATTTATCTCAAACAATAATCAGTTTTATTTTTCGCTATGAAATGAATATATGATATAATATTTTAATTTCAGAGGTAATGATGATTCTTAAGTGTTAGTAGAAACTGAGTCATACGAGAACAAGCTTGAGTTGCAAATTAAGCGAGATAAATGGATGCATTATCCCCAAAAGAATCTTTGGGATTTACTTGAAACATCTGAGGTATTGCATTTTTGAAAACTTCTTTTGTGCGTGCTTTTTATTTTATTGTTTTGACTCTCGGTTTTATTGTTTGTTGTAGGAAAAACTATGTAGGGTTGTTGCCACAATCTACCAGATTGATATAGATTGGGGATGATATTATTTTGGATGTTTAAGTTGTAACAACAAGAAGGTTTATCCACATTCAAAATCCATTAAGAAATTGAATGGGAAAGACATTGTTACAAACGTTTGGTGGTGTGAGACTTGCAAATCCAAAGTAACATATGTTACTCCACGGTATTAGAACATAATCTAATATTCATTTTTATTAACATATATACTCTATATGAATTTATGTATATTATTGTTTTTATACTGATTCAAAATCCATTTAATGCTCAAAGATGATACTGGTGAATCTCAATTTATGTTATTGGATTCTATTGCTACCGGAGTTATTCCCCAGTCTGCTTCTACTCTACTAAACGGTTCTTGGGACAAAGTTAGTATTTCTCGACTTTAGTATTTCTACTACCTATTGCATTATGAATAATAAAATATCAAATATTCAATTTTACAGCTTGAAGACGATGATCCTTTTTCCCGATTCAATACTAAAGTTGATTGGACAGACTTTTATGTTTGGAGTCTACATTCAGAAAGACTCGGCTTCTGGTGGTTGCTATAAAGTTGGAAAGGTTTGGAAAGATCTACGTATGCTAATGACAAGTGATGTATCAGAAACTCTTTCCATTCCAACCCAAACAAACAAGATAAATACATTATATATATTTTATGATTATTAAACTCATATCTATGTCTATGATTAAAATAAATCATAAAGGTATTTAACTATTTTATCATATCTCCTTAATTTGTAGGATCCCATGTATATTGTAGGGATGAGTGATGACATTGTTTGTACTCCCTCTTCCAAACGGAAAGTTGACGATAAGGAAGCGCCTGAGCTTCTTTCTACCTCTAAAACGAAGTTCATCAAGCCGATTAAAGTGGAGAATCCCAAAAATTTAGAACATTGAAATCCGTTTACGGAAGTGTAATGTTTATGTTTTGGTTATCTTTCAGAACCCTCTTTTTATATCTTTGTAAGTTTGTATTTGGATATCTGCTTATTTTGGATTTATTTGGTTTTGTTACTTATTATATTTGATTTGCTTTTTCTTCACTATTCATTGACTCATCTATTTATAAATTATTCCATTGAAACAGAAAACTACCAAATAGATGATATAACAATGAAATGATTTTTAATATGTGAAACT